ACCAAAGAGCAGCGATGAAAATTAGTAACAAAATAACTAGTTTTGTCAAAATAAAGAAAAGTGTAAGACAAGGCTGTGTATTCTTTCCAGACCTGTACAATCTCTATAGTGAGATCATCATGAGAAAGCTAGAAGATGTAGCGGTTTTACCTATTGGAGGCGTGAATATAATCAATGTAAGATATGCTGATGATACAGCTCTTATAGTAGATTCAATGTAAAAATTGCAAACAATTGTTTCCAAACTGGTTTTTGAAAGTGGAAGAAAAGATTGGTAAATTTACATCAACAAAACAGAGTGCATGGTTATCAGTAAAAGCAAAACCGCCCCGATCTGCTCCACAATCATTAATGGTAAGCGAGTGAAACAAGTCAACAGCTTCAATTATAAAGGAAGTCTGATTACCTCAGGTGTTTATGTGATATAGATATCAAAAGAAGGATCGCTATGGCGAAAGATGCTTATTCTAAGATGAAAAACATCCTCACCAACAGTAAAATCAGAATATCAACAAAATTAAAACTGTTAGGGTGTTACATTTTTTCTGTGCTAACTTACGGTTTTAAGTCTTGGACAATTTCTAAAGAAATGGAAAAAAGATAAACGCTGCTGAGATGTGGTTTTTGGGAAGATAATCCAACGGGGCAGTTAAAGTTTTTGGTTACATCAGGCGGAAGGAAAGAATGGAAAATCTTACAACTTCTGGAAAGATTGCAGGAAAAAGAGATCGCGGTCAACAACAAATCACATTCGTGAAGTCCTTGTGTCACTTGTTGAATATCACAGTATTTCTACTAATACAAAGTATTAAAGATTGGATTTTGTGGAGGTCGGTGGTCGCCAATGTCCTGAAAGGATAAGTCAGGAGAAGAAGTTGATGTAGCCGTTAAATGAATATGATTTCAGATTTATGTATTTTTAACGTTTGCATTGTTTGCATGAAAGTAGGTTGGTTTCATAACATGTCACCAATTCAACCACCTCTATTTTGCAAACTCGTAGAATAGCAGTGTCGAGACGTAACGTGTTAAATAACTGCAGGTAGGCAGCAGTCAGTCGGAGTTTTTGACTTTAACTCTTTTATGATCAATGTCCGCACTCTATTGTGTCTGTTTATCTTGTCAGAGCTTATGTTGAACCACAGTTTGAGGCGTCATGTTTATTTGTTTGACGAACGCTGTTGTATAAAACTTCAAATGAAAGCCTTGCAGTTTGAAAATTTTGATTTGCCTGGTATGTGTTAAGAAAAGGAAAGGTTATTATTAATAATTACATGATGGTGTGTGAATGATTGAACTTTGTTCGTTGTGCTATTGCGTGCAGCCTCCGACCAACCGGACTGCAATGCACTGCTTCTGCTTCCACTCCACATTACTCATTCTCGCCAATGATTAATAGCGCTGTGTTGCAGATCAACCGGATTATTAAATATGTTGGCTATCTAATGAGGCATGATGACAAATCATATTTCACGCCTGCTTTGAATGATTGCCAGGATAACTTAACTTAAATATATAAGCCCTAAACTTAAATGGAACAAATTTTACAAGATTATCTTATAATTTGCGTGCCAGCTATAGTACAGATTGGCTACGATGTTTTTGAACATCACGCTAATGTTAAATTAATATATTCTTTTCTACAAAAAAACATCAATAATTGTATTACAGCATCTTTGGTTTTTTCGTAACATTTAAAAACTTTAAATTTAATTTATTGCATAGTTAGCAATTAACTTGATTGATGATACTGCTAATATTTATTGAATGATGAGATAAGATCTCAGACGTGCTGGCCTTTTTGATTATGTATATGGTAGAATTTTTATATATTGGTAAGCTAAATTTATTCATTATTTATTATATTAATTATTTATTTTTAATTTGCTATTAAATCAACACTATTAAATGAGTAACAAGCACAATTACAAATCTATTTTTTCATTATGTTAATTTTGTCATGAATTATAAATTTACTTAAAAATCGTGTTAGAATGAACAATTTGTGAACGGTGGCCTGCGACACAAGAACTTTTGTTTTCTTTTAGCTTTGGTCTCCTAATCGTTACCTAATTTGAATTCAGCTTGCAACATTAACGCATTGGCACTAAGTCGCAATATTGCAAAGTAGAAAATTTGTGATTCCAGCAAAAGTTGGACTGGATATAAATTAGACATGCGTTGTCTATTGTTAGAAACAAACAGTTGATCGATGAACGGCGAGTACTGAAACCTGGTCTGGTGCATCGTTTGAGATTGCTTCTCGTGCTGTGTGCAGAAAGCAAGATGGCAACGTGATGTTTTGCATTAGGTAATCAATCAATTCAAGCAATGAATCAAATAGTGTGAAAATGTTAACTCTGAGTAATTCTAAATTTTTCACCTAACACACAAGTAAAATCATTGTTTTGAAAGAATGAACGTATATTCTAATAAAGTCATTAAATAAAGGAATGATGAACTTATTAATGAATAGTAAAATTCAAATCAACACGACTGATTTCTGATGTTTTTTAAATACTCTAAATAAAGCTTAGTTTAACGTTTTTCTGAGAAAAACAATTTGTGCTGATTTTTTAATAATAATAAAGCAAACTTGACAAAGGTCTCGGATATGTGTTCAGGTTAACTATTTTAGAATAGTTTTAGACTGTTATCATTAATTTGTAATTTATTATCAACTAAATAAATTAGAAATAACCATTTAGTAGACGTCATTTTTATGAAATATCATAAATTATCAAAATGCTTGTTTGAAGTTTTATCCCAAAACCATATCTTCCAATTTTATTTTTATCGAGACAGCGTTATTTCAGCTAGAAAAATCAATGCACACATTATTTTTTTTGTTTTATGCTTGGTAAAAATATATAACTGCTGAAATCTTAAATAGAAGAAACCATAACAATTTTCATTAAGTTAATTTGTAGTTCCATAAAAATATAAATACCCACAAATCACATGCATGAACATACATTCATAAGTCAAGCAACTTGATTGTCAATTTTGCAATTGTCACCGGTTTTAAAACAAACTCACTCTCTTTTAAATGGCATGTAGCCCTGTGCACAAATCAGATATGTCTGACCAAACACAAAACTATCAGGAAATTTGTAAAATATAATAAATTTGAGGATCGATATGCATTTAAACTATGCCAGTTGAGCTAACTTGATGAACCTCAGACATGAGAATGGCAAAATGTGATGCACTACCTTCACAATCAATATCTAATTTATCTATTATTGTCTTTAAAATTATGATAAAATTATAAAATATTTCAAAATTGTTTATGGAGGTTAAAACTGACGGAGAGTTAGTTTAGTTATACCTATATCAAGTCGTGCATTTTAAATATTCTTTAAAATAAATTTCATGTTTATAAGGTTGTTAACAAAATAACTGAATTAATTAAATTAATTTTAATATTGTTGAGGTATTAATTTAATGCGTCTTAATTTACTTCGCAACTGGCACAAGATTTGCTTCCTTCCTATACCTATCTTCAGTTAGTTTTGTATTTTGAGTTCTTTTGAATCAAAAATGAACTAAAACATAAAGCAATTATCACAATATTAAGGGAAGTAGTTTTAATGGCAACTTGGTCATTTTTAAAAATATTCAACAGAAAAAACTCGATGCTAAATTTGATAAACGCTATCTATAATAGTTGTGCTTATTATGATGTTTCAGTTAAAAAATCATTTTTTAAAAATCTTTTGTTTGACTAATCTTTTTACTAGCATAATACCACTGATGGGTAGTTACTAACTACAAATAGTTAACTAGTAGTTAATAACTATTAACTGGTGGTTAGATGTAGTTAATAACTATTTATTTTGAATAGTTATGACAATATAATAATAATAATAGTAATACTCTTTGTAACTAACGAGATATTTTTGGTTTATGCTTTAATTGAATTCGTCATTATGAGCAGCTGTATAACTGACAATGATGTTTGTTGGATGGTTGGTTGCTAAGAAAACATCTGTTTGCCGTGTATTTTGATTGTTTTCTATATCTTTTGTATATTATGTTTTGTATGTAGTGCTTTGTTTTTATGTTCGGTTTTCGGGCATCTGTTTTGTATATCATTTGTATATATATCTCGCGTTTGTATACCATGTTTCTATGTATATCTCGTGATTGTTTGTTTGTTTGTATTTATTGTGTATGTTTTATTCTATGTTGTATATTCAATTTTGTTTATTGTATATCTTGTATCTGTGTTTGTATCTCTTTTCTGTACGTCCTTTTTGGGTATCTTGTTTTTTGCTTTCATGTTTTGTATTTCTTGTTTTGTATACTTTTGTATTCTTTATTGTATTATACCATTAGTTAGAGCGGAATGGTTTTAAAAATTTTGTGCAAAAATTGTATGAGTCAAGTAAAAAAGAACTAATTGAAAACTTGAAAAAAGTTCGTTGTGTGTCGACAACTGCTAACATATGGTCAACCCATAAGAGATCTTTTATAGGCATCACTTTGCATTTTGTATCGTCACGTACGTTATAAATAAAATCTAGGGTTTTGACCTGTCGGCGATTTAAAAGATCCCACACAGCTGATTCTATTGCTAGAGTGTTGAATGTTATATTTAATGAATTTTAAATTAAAAAAAGATTATAAATGTGGTCACTGACAGCGCTGCAAACTTTGTAAAAGCATTTTCTTTGGTAGCATTACCAAATACTACAGAAGGTGACAGTGACATAGAAGATATTTACAAAAAAAACAAGTAATAGTTTTTTTTTAATTGCACATGATAAATACATATTCAAATTAACTTTTGTTTATTAATGATTTGAAGTCATACATTGTTTGAAAATGTTTTTTTGGTAAATGGTTATTTATTTATTTACATACACGCAGATTGCAAACCAGTGAGTCCTGTACCTTCGTCTTCTAAAGAAAGCGAACCTCAGCAAATAAATGTTGACAATTTGTATGATTACCTGGAAAATAATCAAAATTCTTCGGATCGTGTGTTGGCTGATGAACTCAACAGTTACTTGGCTAACCCATCTAAGAATATTGAAAGTTTATTTTCCTATCTACCAGTATGTGCAAGTTTCATTAAACTAAATTCAACATTACCTAGCTCTGCAGTGGTTGAGCATCTTTTCAGTGTTGCTGGACAAATTCTAACTGGTAAACGCTGTAGATTGTTTGATGATCATACCACTAAAATGATTTTTTTGGGAGATCATCTTAAACACACATTAAAAAAAAAACATTTATTAAAAAAAAATATATATGTGAGTTAATAAATTTACAAAAATTTTTCAGAAGGGTTTTTTTTTAAATAATAATGATTAAAGGTAGTTAAAAAGTAGTTAACTATTAAAAAGTAGTTAATTACTACTTTTCTTGAAAATAGTTAAAAAGTAGTTACTAACTAAGTTTTTAGTCAAGTAATTAACTACAGTAGTTCTCTACATTTTGGGGTAGTTAACCCATCACTGAAAAATATGTTTGCTGAAAATCGATCTTTAAAATATTGTTAATTATGTATGTGGTATACCTGTTTTTTTGCTCACACATTAAAAATCAGTTATAAACTTTTTATTGAATTTAAGAAATTTTAATCGATTCTTGCTTGATGCTTTTTACTTTAGAGTAATTTTCAAAAGTCTACAAGCAACAAATCATTTCAAAAACTTTACATTTATAGTTACAGAGGTCAGCTATATAATACTGACACCAATTAATATCTGAATGTCTATTATCTTTTTAATTAAAGTTAAAATACTGAGCGCAATCATAATTTGGCAGATTTCTCATTGTGTTTCTTGTTTTTTTGAAAACACATATTCCATATAAGTTAGAATGGACCCATCGGAAATACACTGATCCTATATATGTTAAAATGGAGCCTCGAAAATACACCGACCCCATATAAGTAAGAATAGACCCATCCGGAATACACCGACCCCATATTAATTAGAATGAACCCTTTTGGAACACACTGACTCCATATAAGTTAAAATGAAGTCTCGGGAATACACAGACCCCATATAAGCTAGAATGGACCCCTTTGAAATACACTGACTCCATATAAGTTAGAATGGACATTTGAGAATACATTGACGTATAGTTTTTAATGGACCTATCAGGAATACACTGACCCCATATAAGTAAGAATGGACCCATCGGAAATACACCGACCTCATATAAGTTAGAATGGAGTCTCGGGAATACATCGACCCCATATAAGTTAGAATGGACCCCTTGGGACTAAGCAAACGTTTTGATGATCAGTCATTGATTTAGAATGTTACACATCAATGCCAATGAAACTATTTTTATGAGCCTTATTTGCTCATGGCAACTGCTAAAAAAAATTTTGGTTGAAATAATTTCATTTATCATTTTTCCAACATTTCAGACAATATGATATTATTCAATTAACTATTTTAGCTAAAATTATTTTACCCAATACACTGTCACGATATTTTGTTGATAATTATGTTATTTTTTTCAAAAATATTTTTGGATTTTAATCATCAGAATCGTTGTAATTTTATTCAATCTAACTACCGTTGCCTGTGCTTCAAATTTTTTTCTGAAATAAGTCTTTTGAATAAGCTACTTTTCATTAAATTTTTATAAAATTGAAATTTGAAAGTCATTTATAACTATGTAATTTTTTTCAAATTATTTGCAGCAACGTCTAAACATTGTTTTATTTTGCAAAGTATTTTATTTGTTACTGTAGAAAATCTCTAGATAAGTCACGTTTATATATATATTTAATTACTGTTCGTTCGTTCGTTGATTTGTTCAAATTTTTTGGCGTTTTAGCTCGTTTTTCGGTTATTTTTCACTCCAATTGTCTTGCCATTTTCTATATTTTTTTGTATTTAAATATTGCTAATAATTTGATTTCAATCTACAAAGAGCCAATTAAAAATTCACTAAAAGTGAACTTTTTATTCTTTGTAAACGACAAATATAATATTATTATCGGTCAAAACCTTCGGAAGAATATATAATGTACAGGAAAAAAAAACCTCAAAAAGGAACGTCGTTAATTACAAAATTGCCGTTACATCACTAAATCAAACAGTTGTTAGCATGGCGATCGATTAAAAATAAACATAAATATCATTACAATGATGAATTACAAATATAAATAAAGATTGATTTAACACTCTAAAAAAAAATAAAAAGCTAAAAATTAGTGAGAAACCCGCAAAATAATTACAATATTGAAATCCAGTAGTTTTTTTTATCTATGCAACTTACACACAACCGACAACGATGGAGAAAATATGGGCTGTAAAATGTTTTTATTTCTTAATCGTTCAACCGAAGCAAATTGTCATAAAGCACTTTAAGAAAATTAAGTGGCTACAAAAAAATCATAAATTTTTAATTGGTTTGTCTCAAAATAATTAAAAAATAGTTGGAAATGTAGTTGAGGAGGCCAAGCATTTTCTATTGTGCGTAATGTGATGTGGTGCCTCGTTTCGCAATATAGTTTATTGTAAATTTCCTAATGTAATTAATTGAACAATGTATAAATGATATTTTAATTATAACGTTCATCAGGTGTGATATTTTTCAAGCGTAGTAGGATTAACTTCTGTTCAATCAATAATGGAATGCTTCTTCAATGGTTGATACTGCATGCGCGAGTAAATAAACGCATGCTAACATGGATAGGACATGTATGAACGTACATTGTACATTACTATTTGGAAGCCTATAAACATCAGTTCGTGTGTCTTGCAATTATTTTTTAAGTCATGTTGCTTCTATCCCGTTAATTTTTTTATTATTAACAGCGTACAGTTGTAGTTATTAATATAACTGTCGTTAGCCAAGTGAGCTAAGGTAGCAAAAGTTGTTTTTTGTTTTTGAATTGTTTTGAAATTATTGAAACTTAATTTTAAACAGTTGAAAAAATTTTATAACAAAATTAGTTTTAACATCGTTTTCATTAATGTCAATGCATGTCTAACATAAAATTGTGTAACGCATTCAATCATATGCCACTTTTTTTTACTACTGTTCGTCGCATGAAAAATGATTCCCGCTTATCACATACTTCGTGTGTGATGTGTTATTTAGCGCTTTTTCTTACACACGCTGTCTGTGGGTTGTTAATTCCTCTGTACCTAATAAGAGTGTAAATGAGCTTTGATCTTTAACGTCCTTGTCTGAATCATTTTTGATTCCGTGTTAATATAGAAATGTATTATGCTACTGAAAAACTTAAATCTTAAACTAAATCCTTCTAATTTTAAATTAAAATGTTTTAATAAATCTAAATACTTTTACCATTTTTTCTAATATTTTACTTTTTAAAACTTGATTTTTTTCATGAGTTTTGTGGTCTTGGCATTATCCTTGATTCTATCATGTCTTTTTCTTCTCAGATTAATAGCGTTGCTAAAAGTTCTTGCTTTTATCAACATAGCATAAAAAACTTTTGCCTTATCTTAACGATCATACTCTTCTCTTGTTACTCTGTTGGTTTTATCTAGGATTGATTCAATCAATCTTTGTTTAGCGTCCAGAGAACCAGTTCCCCCGAGGCAGAACGTTGTTTTCTTTGTCATCAATTTTTTGCGCCAAGTGAAGCGATCAGTTGTATCCATTTCATTTAAATTTGGAGCTTTCATGTTTTGTTCGATTGTTTGCGACCAAGACTTCTTTGGACGGCCTTTGGGACGTGTGCAATGTACTTCAACATTTGCAAAAGAAGTTATGGCACCATTTCCACTTCGTTTGACATGACCAAACCACCACAGACGGTGTTGCCGGCATTCGTCCTTTATATCATCAAAACCAACACGACGCAGGATTTTGGTAGATTTGATGTGGTCCTTTAGACTAATTCGTTGCATCCATCGGAGCATTTTCAGAGGCAAGGAGATGCCATTTATTCCAGGCTGCACGTATGCGTGCTCGAACGGCAGCTTCAGCTGTTCCAGTACAATCCAGAACATCCCCTAGATATTGAAACGATGTGACTTTCTCTACCTTAATGGCTTCAAAAACATTGCTATTTTGAATTTGTTGTTGTGGATTGATGCAAGTAGGACAAACAAAATTGGATGCTTTAGATAGAGTACCAATTATTTTTAACAACGTTTGTGACACCACTGGTTACACTGCTGATACTTGATTGAATTGCTACCTACACCAGCTTTAAAAACTGAACAGAGCCATCGTCCAGTAGCTGTGGATTGGATGGGTTCACCAGTGTTCATTGCTTTGGTATTGCTGATGTTGACTTTGAATCTATGATCGGCGAGTCTAGCGTTCCAATCTTCAAACATCTGTGCTGCCTTCTGCTCAGACGTGGCTGTTAAAACGATATCATCAGCATATATTAGATTCCAAATGTCACCAATGCGTATCGGCTTAATGATTTCTTCCATCACAGTTATAAATAACAGTGGACTGAAAATCGAGCCTTGGTGAACTCCAACGCCAATGTCAAATGCATCTGGGTTTTCAACCGTTGTGCTGACGAGAGTCTTAGTATTCGTATACATTTCCATCACAAGTCAAACAAGATATTCTGGAATTGATTATAATCATTAATTTATAATAATAATAATAAATAGATAAAAATTAATTAATAATCAATCATTAATAACAAATAGTTACAATGATTATTGTAATTTGATCTACCATTGGCAGATCTAGAAAACTTTGACAGAGGAGCCAAAATTTCGAAAATATTTAAATTTTGACCGGATGCCAAAATGTTTTTGCTTATCACATCAATTTCTGGTCGGTTTTCGACAAAAAGGTGGCTTTTTCTGTTGAAACAATGAGTTTTACTGATTTTTAATAAAAATACTGCTCAAAACGGGGTGGCATTGGCCTCTCCCGGCCACTGCGTTCTACTATGGTTTACATTACAAAAACAACCATTATAATTTACGACTAGCTGAATCAATACTCACAGAACAAAGACATCCGATAATAAATATTCAGCAAGGGGCAATTGGAATTCTTCCTACTAATAAATTTAAAAACAGGGGAATTATCGATAATGAAAACACGTAAAAGTGTTATATTTATCGATAATGAAAACACGTAAAAGTTGTGTTCATCTATCGGAAATCTTGAACCTACGAAATAACGAACACTTGACAATCGTTGGAAGCTACAAAACTTGTGTTAGAAATATAGAGATCTTTGAAGT